AGAAAACAAAATGTGTTTAACACCCACCAACCCACACACAGACACTCAGTGCGCCATGATCGCAGAGGCGGCCACGACGGCCAACACAAGCGGCATCAAAGCGGAGGCAGCAGCGCCGCCATCAGCATTCAGCTTGAGATCAAGGTTCGTGCTTTCCGCTGCAATATTCCCAGCAAGTGCACCCTCATTACCCTGAGTGCCCTCAGCTGAAACTGTGGAGGTGCCGGCGTGATCTGTTCCTTGGGTGGTCGTTGCAGCCTGACCCTGGGTGGCTTCCAGTGCTGCAGGGGTTGTGTCAACGGTGGCTGTGCTGATNGGCAAGTGATGTTACCGTTCCCATTGAACTTACCGTGCACCTTCAGGAACTCCCCCTCCGGGCACAAGTAGTACGTGGGGGCACCAGCGTACTGCACATACACCGACCTCTCCATGCACGCAACGTGGACGCAGACGTCGTCAATCGCCTCGCCATTCACTGTGAGACCATTTCCCTCCACACACCGCGACGATGGGCCAATGACACTCCCCGGCATGACGCTTCGGTCGCCATCAATGCAGCTGAAGCCTTTGCCCGCCACAACAATGGGGCAGTAGTCCATCATGTCCTCCCGCCTGCCACCACGCATCTTGCCACCCTTGGCTTCGAAGTACTGGTATCTCTCAGGAAGGTTTTCGTACTCTTTAGTAACACACGTCCCCAACGCCTGACGGTCAGACGTGCACCGTGACTTCTTTTCATCGGTGGAACCCGTGCAGAACATGCCAGGGTGTTTAGAGACGCCACTCTCAACGCACTTCGTTTTATTGGTCAGAAAATCGCATCCAGCATTTCTCCCCCAGTTCATCGGCTCCGCCTTCGTCCAGTCCACCATGTAAAACTGCAGGTCGGCGAAGGCTGCAAGTGTCAACAGTGTGTAGCGCCCCGCACCGACAAGGCCGGTCATCAACTCGTCCTTCGCAACGAGGCGCTTCCAGTGGGAAGACACCTCCACCTGTAGCGGCGGCGGTGGTGGCATGTCGATGACTGTAATCCTTCTCTGCTCGACAACAGGCTCCAGATCAGGAAGTTCGCTAATCAAAGCATCAGCGCTTTCCGCCTGTATTTCCGCCACACTTGCAGCCTGAACACCGGGAGGGGAGATCTGCGTCGGAGGTGTCATGGCTTCCCCCTCAGCTGCCGCCATCCACGGTGCCTCGTTCTCGAGTGGCATACGTTTCATACTGCTACAGCCATAATGGTATGATGTAACTTTCTTCACATTTGCTGAGTCGTAAACATGCATATCTGTTTTTGGGTCTTTCTTAATCGAGGCTTGACCCAACTTTGTGTGCTCCTTTATGGTCTTCACGTTGAACCCAAGGGTGTGCGCAATCTCGTGTGCGGCGACGCGGACGGCCTGCGACGTGCGTGCAATGTGGCGCGGGCTGTAGTTGATCACGCCAATCACCGGCCGCCCGTCGGGGTGCACCGCGCACGTCGCCGCCCACGCAAAGGCGCCATCAACGGTCGGCGCAGCAGTGGCGTACAGCACCATGTCGGCGTCGTCAACACCCTCAGTGTGGTGCTCTTCAGGGATGTTCAGCTCACCGCAGGGATTGTTATCGTTGAAGTTCGGGGCAACAACACGGTACTGTGATGGCTTCACGTACAGGCGGCCAGAGTGCAGCTTCACAGCCTCGTGGAGGATCGTCTGTTCCAGAATCTTCTTCTTCTCCTCTGTAAGGACATCATTCGCGGTGCAGCTCACCCTCGTACCAAAGGTGGTGGTGATCTCACCCGAGGCGCTCTCACAGGTCTGGGAGCCCTTCGTGTTCGCCATGAACACCTTGATACGAAGAGGTCTGTAACCCGCCTCTGGTAAAAGAAGAGGATCTCCTTTCTCAGAGGACGTTAGTTTAAAGGACGTTGAGAACACGGTAGATGTATGCGGAGGCCATACGGTTTTATTCGGTGTGGTCCCACTAAAGGTCACTTTCTCAATATCATACCGGTTGCGGGCCACGTAGTCGTAGATGCAGCGGTGGTGCTCCGACACTGCGAGAGTGCTGCCGGCGCAGTGCACAAGGAGCAGCAGCGTGACGCCCAGCAGGCACCGCATTCGTTGAGCGTTGTTGTTGGCGAACATTTCGATCTTGCAGAGAAGAGTCGCAGAGAGAGAACAGCAGGCAGTGAGAGAGGAGTAAAATAGAGACACACACACGCACAGCTGCAGGCATTACACAACAAGCCCATCAAGCACCGCAGCACCATTCACACACACACACACACACACACAGGTGAGTGGGCGGCAAGGGAAACACACCGAAGGGAATTAAAGAGCTGCAGCACACATGCGCCCAGCACAAATCTTCTGCACAAAGCAAGTCTCTTAATAAAGAATCACCACCCCAAAGCAAAGTGCATGCAGACATCCTGCTACTGCAGTGTGTATATACTCGCACACACACACACACACAGAATAAAAGGGTTATCGTACTCCACGAGCACATGCAGGCAGAAATGAAAAGCAATTAGGATTAACGCGCCTTCCACCCCACACACCACACACCACGAGGATGCCACACATACACAAAGCAAAGAAACAACCACACAAAGGGGCAGCAGTTGAGCCCCAAGCAATCATTAGGAAGAGAGGGGATAAATACATCCACCATGAGCTCGCAGCATCACACACAGAGAGAGGGAGGAGGCATGTTACTTCTCCACGATGCTCATCACACAGCCGCCACTGCAAACAACGTCAGCAGAAGCAGCAGTGCATGCACCCACACAAGACTGACGCTGCTGTCCGCATTCTTCGTGTCCTTCACGTTCTCAACTTCTGGAGCAGCAGCAGTGGTGGAAGACTTGCTGTCTGTGGCCTCACTGGCACTCGGTGAAGAAGGTATAAGTGGTGCCGGCGCTTCCACGGTAACAGTTTGCTCGCCTTCACCGTGAGAAGCAGATCCAGGAATACGCTTTGTATTGTAGTGATCCTCAGGAGTGCTGTCACCTGCAGAAGTGTGCTCTGCGGGTGGCGAAACGCCAGAACTCAGCTCTTCTCTGTTGGTACTTTCAGAGCCACCACTGATTTCACCACCCGAATTACCCTGGGTACTGTCCGCGTGTATTGTGGCCTTGTTGTTCTTTTCATCAGATAAGTTAGCAGTCTTGCTGTCGACGCCACCAACACGACCATATCCAGACTTCTTCCTCTGAGTTTGTTCAATGCCGGTGCCTTCATTTGTTCCAAACCTCCCCAGTTCTCCACCTCCTTCGGCGTTCTCGACCGGTTGTTGTGGCTGGAGTTGAGGTACGATTTCTTTCCCCTTGTTTAGTCGGTTACCCGTTTGGATCCCGCAGCTCTCCGAAGGACTGGAAGTACAAGACGCATCAACGGCGCTGTTGAGACCAAGGTCCTTTTCACCCTCCGCACGATGTTCTAGCGCACCTCCAACATGAGCACCTGGGCCACTGTGCTCCACGCCTTCCCTCGTAGCTCCCTGTAGAGATCCCGCAACCTCAGACACGCACTGCTTATTATCTGCACCTTGGACTTTCGGGCAATTAAGGTTCCCTCCACTGGGACCCAGAGAATCACGCCCATCACCTTCTGTAGAAGAACCTTCCCTCTCCGGTACCACTTTCTTCGAGATAGTACAGTTCTTCACCGCCTCATCAGTACAAGTCACAACAGAAACAATACCGTCAGAATCTTGGCACTCGAGAGGCTTCTTCTCCTTACAAGCATCAAGAACCTTGAGAGTCTTACAGCCCGATGGTTGATCTTCCGCAGTACACGCAACAGCTTTCTCCGCCTGACTTTCTTTATAGGTAACAATGCAACTTTCGCCAGTTTTACCACCCCCAGAAGGACAAGACGGAAGGTCAGGCTTTGCCACAGATACAACTTCAGCCATTACCGCGTAGCCACCAATGTTTGACACCTCTACAATCCTCAGCTCATTCAATGCCAAGCACCCGCAGGCGCACCACGCACACAGCGCAGACACCAGCAGCACACAGCGCATCGTCATCATCGTATTCTTGATCTGCGCAATGAGTGGGGGCAGGCAGA